GGCGACAAAAGACATGATTTTCAAATTATTAATGTTTATATACTGGAACTATAGTTACTCCACAAGCAGCCCTATACTCCACCATCGATTAAGAAGATATTTTTAAAAGCCCAAAACGACTGGGCATAATAATAATTAAAAAGCTTGAGTTTCAGGCAATTGAGATGGGAAGTACTCCCGTCTTGAGTTGATGGGCGGATTGAGTTACAAAATATTTGATTATCTCTTTGCGGAGGCATTTCAGCCAGCTATATACGTATAGTGCTGAGGTTGTTTAAACATTTTAATTATACGCCTAATTTATGTGGAATAAATTAGTGGTCTGGCTGGGCTTGCTCTCTTTCTCTCTCTCTCTGCTGTTCACAACTTCCAACTTCCAACTGTGCCTCGACACAGGTCTTTAACACAGGGACGCTCTGTTTTTTTTTACGGCCGAGTCATCTTCATCTTCGTCTAATGGGCGCCCCTTGTGTTCCAGTGCGCTCAATAATTTTCCCCAATTCCAGCTGTCAGTCGAGGTGTCAAATCGCAGCTACTCATGCTGTGCGCTCTCCTCGCAGACTCGCTCGCGTTCCCGCCCCTCGGGTAATTTAAATTAAGCATCTGACGCACACCTCTACGGATCGGATCGTTACGGATCCCCTCTTTTCGATTCCCTTCCGTATACCAACTAAAAAAAAAAAAAAGAAACTCCAGATCCGACAACGACAATGCGATGATATGGGTATGCATCCACTTAACCATAGCCATAGGATGAGAGGATGCCTTCTGTGATACTGATTAAGATCATCCACATCAACAGAACCATCGTGTTCATGTGGCGCGATCACGCTGACAACAGCTCAAATCCCCATGAGGAACTTGTTGCCGCATGTACCACTTATTTGAGCGTTAAACAATTTGCTATCCCCAACTATCGCGTCCATGTGCCCCCAAAGTGTTCATCCGAACATGGCCTAATCAAACGTGCTGGCCACAAAAGGTGTCTTTCAATTAACTTTAACTTTAAGTATAAACGAGGAACAGTCGTTGTTGTTGTTATTTTGTAATCCAAAGTTCAATGATGGCTTACAGGAAACTGAATTAACTTAATGACTTAGACTTTAGGTACTGCTATTAGTCTTAACAGAACTATCTTAATAAGTTGGGATTTGTATGGTTTTAGCATTTAAAAAACTAAATATTAGATGAGTTGTCTCTCAAAAAAACTAAACCCAAAGTTCCAAGTTAACCAGGAAGAGCTGGGCTTTTTAGGGTCACGATGGGCTGTCGACACTTCGGATTCAAATTTAATTGGAATGAACCGTTTCGATGGTGTGGCCTGATAATTTACAACTTTTCAATTTGAACATTGGGCCGAGAGAGCATTATACACAACAATGATTGGTTGCCGCTTAATTTTTTCGCATTTGGCCGCTGGAGCAGACACCAGGAGGCAGACACTGAAGGAGACAAGCTGACGCAATCACGACATGCAATAAGGAACATCCGAATTGTGGTATCTGCGACAGCGATCTTGGTTGCCATTGAAATGTGGCAGTCGTTGAATGAACCAAGCGACTCCTTGCTGGCAGTTTGAGTTCGACTTCCAGTACGAGTACGAGTACGAAGTACCATCAGCATCACAATCACCATCACCGTCACAGCGTAACAACCTGAACCACCACCAGGCACTCCACCCACATGCGAGTAAACAAGAGCTCATGTTGTTAAGACGATCAGGCGATCGACTCCTTGCCTGCTTGCTCTACCCCTGAAAATGGTCACTGAATCCCAGTTACACTTCACCCGTGGAGGCGGTACGGTGGGAGATGTTTGTCAATTTCGTATCAAAATTTTGTGGTCCTACAGTCAGAGAAATAAGTTAGAAAAGTTTTAGCTTAAAAGGTAATCATTACCCTAAGAACTTGACCATAAGTCTATCACTTTTTTCAGTGCCTTTAATATTTTTTAGGTAAATCTCTTCAACTACTGTTTACCCACTATATTCCAATGATTTTTCATTCCCCAATATATCTATATTTGTGCATATATATAGTAAATAACTTACAGATACAGAGATACAGATGTGAAAATGTATCTGAGGTGAATAAGCGCAGGCTTGCATATGTCAGGAAACGCTTTGATCTCTTAATTTTCTGCAAAAATACAGTTTAAATCAAAGGGAGGCCGCTGAAGTGTTGGAATACGGCCACGTGTCATAATATTTGTGACAGCATTAACGAAATTATTGTTGAAAGAGTGCAATATAATTACCATGCCGCAAAAGGTGGCATACTCATACCCTGCCCCCTCACCGAACAATGTTAAACAAATGGGATTTCCTGATAAAAACTACTTTGTAGTTATGCGCCAACGAATAAATCATCTCAGCAATGCCAGGCTAATTGTTTTTCTGACCTAAAATTAGTTAGTTATTTTGGCTAATTTATTTATCACTTTGTTTTTGAGAAGGGGGGAGGGGGGATGGAGAATCGAAACTGCGGTCCAAACCAAACACACACAGCCATCCGTTTGATGGAGATGTTGGCAAATTTAATTTCGAAAAAACAATGAACTGTCTTTGGTTGAGAGACCTGGACATGTTTTTGAGTCGCAGTTCCACATGGTTAAATACGGAAATGTGGGTTTTACTTCTTCCTCGCGAAAGCTGCACATCACCTATCGACTGGAAAGAGGCCCCAAAAAGCCAGCCAGCCAGTCAGCCAGCCAGCCGTCGTCTGCTGCACTCTGTTTTAGTCCCATCATTGTTTTAAGTTCCAGTGTGATCGTTGTCTGCATAATAACATGTTATTATCATTTTATTTGTTTGCCAGCTCAGCTTAGCTCAGCTCTCTCTCTCTCTGTTCTTCTGGGATCAGGCCAAGAATCTTCAGATATCATGGTAGTTTCAGCCAAGAAGGTAAAAAGCCAATGTGCTAAATGCTCGAAACACATGTTCTTATGTTAAGTGTGTCTGCTGAAATTAGCATAATTGTGGATTCAGTTTTCGAAAATATCATGCTTTCAGGTGAGATCTAAACAACACCTATAATTTTCTTCAAGTTCTGTAAATATTAGTTACTTTCAGTTAACTATGGTTACTCTATATCATCCTTATAGAACCCCAATTTCCATGACCAGTGTAAGTTTAAACAAATTTAGTCAAACAATAGAGAAAACACGCCTAAGCTGGCAAAGCATAAAGGCCGTGACTTTTCGAATGTCGACAGTTTCTCAATATAACGTGGGTATATAACTATATATATACTATAATCATTGATCTGGGACTTTGAGAATGCTGTAAACCGATTAAAGACGTAGAGAGAGACACTACCAATAACATTGGAATTTCCCTAAGCTGGCTGAGAATAAACAATTTGTTGGGGCCAAGATGAAAGTTTCTTTGTAATGGAAATTATGCTCAACGCTCTACAATAATTAAATCATTCCGCCTATAAAACTATAAGAAGATACACGATTGATTTAAGCTGACAACCAAAATCCGTTCCAATTTCCAATGACGATTGAGTTTTAACGGCGCTGACAATATGGATTTGATACTTCTCAGCAGGGCTTTTGTCCCCGCGGAACAATGCAACAAAGCGCTCTCTACCCGTGAATTAATAATCTACTCCATAAAAACAGTTGTCAGCTTAAAAAAATTTTCGGTTACCGCTTTTGTGTCTGCTACTGGTTTTTCTTTTTCCTATTCAAAAAGCCGAGATTACGCTACTCGTATTGAGTCAGATCTATAAAGACGACCTTCAGGGGAGTCAAAAAGGCGTTTTGAGTGCAGGCCAAGAAGGTAGGAATGCAGTCAGGGCGTGTTTCGTATTTGTTTAACAACTAAATTAAAATGTTTGATTGGTTCTTAGAAGGGGGTAATGTGTTATGGATTTGATTCTGAAGAATGATCCAATTTCCAGTTTTCAATGTTGGAAAAGTAAGAACTAGTTAATATGATTCGATGTCAGGTTAAGTTATAAAGTTATGAAGTTGTAAAAACTTCTCCAGTTAACTATAAAATGTTGCAAGAACTTAAAGCCATCTCAAGCCTACACATTTTATCCCCTTCCTGATACCATAAGGGATACCATACCGCATCTCCTCAAGCGAATTCTCACTTAACCACGGATGAGCCGAAGCAAATCGAGCTTCGATAGTCGATAATGGAAGACCATAAATAACTTGTAGGGTTTATTAACCCCTCAGCTCACTCCAGTCACTCTCTAGCAATAATGTATATATATACACTCGCATATACCGCCTTTTGTTAACTCCATTCATAAGTTTTCTGCCCAGTTTGCTCTTGTTCTGTTTATGTCGGCGAATGCGTTTCCGGTCAGCGACACAGGAAAACACGTTTATAGCAAAAATATTGTTTTTGTTTCTCTTGCGTTTATCGTACACCATCGCCAGCCCTTAAATCACTGTCTATGATTAACCAATAAAAAAATATAAATGAGACTTAAGAGTTAAGCGAAAGGAAATGAGACAAGCCGTTGGTTCGCATTTGTGTTCCATTTTATTAACACCTCTTTGTTTTTTTTTGTATTTTTCGTTTAATTGTTATAGCTGTTGTTAGCACTTTTTTAATTTTCAATTTTTTGCATTTGGACTTTAAAGTATTTTCTTTCACTTATGCTGGTTTGCGGTGATTGGTGGCAATCTCAAACCTCATCAAAAGAGACTTCTTTTTTTGAGTGGAAACTTCAAATTTTTGTTTAGGTTTGTTTATTTTCATTTCGGATTTCAGATTTATTTGATATTGAAAAAAGAAATCGAAAAGCACGGGTAAGCTGCCCCATTAAAGTCAGTCTAGACATCTTTATAAGAAAAGTAGGATTGGGATTTCTGTTTTTTTTTTATTAAAGAGTTTTGATAATAAAAAAATAAAGTTGTTAAATCAGCAAACATAAATTTTATATAATTTTACTCGCCCAAAATCACTTTCCCCTTCAAACAGTGAAAAACATTTCGTATTTATTTATACCAATAATTGTGGCTTTTGTTTAATGTGTCTCATTATCGTTCTTTTATTATAAGTATATACAGTTTTACTAATTTACACTACGCTTAGGGCGCTACAATTACGCGAGCTTACATACTTACAACTTGTGCATAAAGTACAGCAATACATGGATCTCTAGTTTTACGAAATAATTCATTAATTACACACACGTACAAAATTATGGTACACATACGAAGTAAAATAAATTAAATTTATAAACGACAGGAACAAATTGGTAACTTAAGACGATAAAAACAATAACAGCTAAATCAATGATTGCTCGTGTACATTTGGCTTGGGTTTGGGCTCGGTCTCGGTTTCGGTTGGGAAAATCAAGAGGGGAAAATGAGGGGGGGAGGCATATTCAGCAGACTTGGGTTGATATGTTTTCGGGTCCTCCCACAAGGGCCGTTTTTTTTTTTTAAATCGAACAAAAATCTAAGATATATATTTAATTAAAATCTACAGAAGTTATAGACCTTAGCTGCCAGCCGATTTGTGCTTCTATATGTATAATTTAGTGGGGTGTCTCGGATCTGCCATTTTGCCATATCGGTATATATGTTTAGTGGTCGGGTATGTATGTTATGTATGTATTCATTGATGTCGCCCTGCTATATATCTTCCAATTTACATCCTATAAGCTCTGATTGCATAAGTTGTTAAGTAATTAAATTAACGTATCTTCAAATGGTTTTTGGATTATCTTCTCCACAAAATTGCACAACGTCTGGGGGCAGCGGTTGGGTTTTTCATTATTATTTTTTCTCTCTTCTTTTTTTTAGTTTTGTTGAATTTTCTTGATAATTTTTTCATTATTTTTTTGGGGGCCCATGCCAAAGGAACCGCTGCGTTTCAGCTGGTTTTGTTTTTGTTTCTTAATTGTTTTGTTATTTTTTTTTTGTTTGCTTGCTATTTGGTATAAGCGGCGTTAATCAAAATACCGAATAATCACATTGTAAATTATTGTCCGAAAGTGTAATTATACCTTTCAAGCCCGGGCCTCGAAATCGGAATCTGTATCGGTATCGGTATCGAGATCGGAAACGAAATCGTTGTCGGATTCGAAACTGGAAGTGACTACGGTCGCAGTAGCGTTAGCTTCTGCTGCTCCCGGAAGGCGATCAGCGAGCGGAAGGCGGAGATGGGCGAGGCAACTGGTGCTGCCGGATCCGGTGAAGCCGCCGATGGATGTCATGGCTTTGCACTCAGCGAGGTCACATTCACGCCGGGCGATATCTTTCCGGAGTGCGAACTGGATGACGAGGCGGTTGAATTGCTGGATATTGGTCCCATCATGTGCTGGGCCGCCGATTGACCACTGGTCGTGGGTATATGGACCACATCGCAGCCCATCGATGATGACGAACTGGAGGCGGAGGGCGAAGCGACTGGTGGCGGTGCCACTTGCTGGGGTCCACCACCGGATCCACCTGATGTCGTCAGACTAAGGGGTGCAAAGTGGGGTCCATTGGCAGCTCCCGAAACGGCGGCCTTCCACAGAAGCGGATTCATGCCGAGCGGTCCATTGTGGGCCGCCAAACTGGCTCCGAACGTGCGCTGATGCTCGAGGAACTCCTGCGTAGGAGCACTCAAGTGCGCCGCAGCTGGTCCATAGAATCCTCGATACAAATCTGGGCGGACATAGGGTGAATAGTTGGGAATCCTGGCCGCCAGGGGTGATAGAATTTTGCCGGGCGAAGGCTGTTGACCTGGATGACCATAGAAGCCGGGATGCGTGGGCGGTAGCTCGGGCAGATTATCTTTGGCCCCGGAATTCGAGTCTTTACTGTCCTTAGAAGCCATGTCAGCTAGCGACCAGATCCTTGGCTTTGCTGTTCCCCCAACTGCGGTCTGCAGCGAGTTCTGCTGCGCCTGCTGATGCTGCTGCAGCAGCTGCTGTTGATGGTGGTGGTAGGCGGCGATGTCTGGCGGAGATCCCGCTGGCGGTCGGAAGTGGTGGTGCAGGGCGGCGGGATGGAAGAGTGGGTGGGCACCTGGCGGCATGCTGCCAGGGCGGTCGTACAAGTCGGGTGATCCATTCGGCGATCCTGGCCTTGACTCAGACCATTCACTGTTGTTGCTCTCGCCCGGACGGTCGGCCATCATGTCGGCCAGACGACCGGAACGGTCCTTGTCGTCCGTGGAGCCTACGCCAGAGTCCTTGGCATCTGGAAGGAAAAGAGGAAATAAGGAATAAATTAAAATCTAACTAAGAAAGGAAAGTAATATAAATTATGTAGTTTAATGTAAAATATCTTCATAGACGTCGCTTTCTACTACCATTTTTCCCAAAAATGTTGCCTACTTAAAAGGGATTCTAATTTTAATAACTTTTCTATTAGACAACTTAAGCAAGATATTTTAGTTTTTAGTAAGAACGGTTAACATATTAAAGCCCTTTAGATCCCTATTAGTATAAACTTCTTAAATTTAATATATATAAAATGTTCTTGTCTTACCTAGCAGATCATTTTCCTCCGTATTCTTATCATCGTCATCATCGATATTAGCATCATCGTCGTCGACACGATTCCTGGGCTCCCAGGTCATCTTGTTCTCCTTTTTCAGTCTTCTTCTCGCATTGGCAAACCACGTGGACACCTGCGTCAGCGTCATCTTGGTGATAATGGCCAGCATTATTTTCTCGCCCTTGGTGGGGTACGGGTTCTTCTTGTGCTCATTTAGCCAGGCCTTCAATGTGGAGGTGGTCTCGCGGGTGGCGTTCTTCCTTCTTGCCCCATTCAAATCCATGCCGTAGCTGCAACAAAAAATGTGAAAAGAAAATGCCAAATTAGATGGGGGGGTTTTTCAAGTCTGGTGTACGGACATCATTTGTGCGATAAGAGAAAACCCAACGACCATTCCCCGAATTGCCAGCAGGTGATTAAGGCCAGAATGGAATGCAGACCCAGCTGTTGCCAGGTCGTTTGGAGTTCTTTAAATATGCGCGCCGGTCCAAACAATTGTTGCAATTTGTTAAACTGGCCAGCCGACGGTGGGCGGGCGGCTTTGTTCTGCGTTAAATTTGTTCATCATAAACGCATTTGCATGGGCCCGAAACATTTATGTCCGTGCAGTTTGCGGTCTGACACATTGCTCCCCATCCCACTGTACCATCGATGGTCGATGGTCGATGGTTGAATGTTGCCGCATGCCTCTCGAATACGACAACTGTCCTTTATCGCTTTTTGTGGGCAGTTAACATGAACGTTTTTAGTATATTGGTATATATACATCGCGACCAGGAGTATATATATGCCCAGAGTGCTTCACTACACTGAGGGATATTGTTTTGTATTTTTTAAGATTTTAAAATTTGATTTTATTCAAGGCAGAAACTAACCTACTACTTTTAAGAGGGCTAACTTGCAGCTCCTTGCCGTTTCTAATCGTGAAAGCTAACTATTTCATTTCCAATAGGGATATATCATATCCTCATAAGCAGACTACATCCTAACCATAAGAACTGTAGCATATTTTTGCCACAGTGTATGGAATGCAAAACAGCGACGGGGGAGAGACATCGCCATCTCGCATACATGTGTAGCTGTCTCATTTGTAGTTTTCAGACAGCTGCCCGATCCGATCCGATCCGAAATGAAGTGAAAGAGAGGATGAGAGGATGACAACGATGTCAACTGGATGCTACGTATGTATATGGGAACGAGACTCTGTGCGTCCGCTGCATTAATTAATTTAAGTTTGAATGCAAAGTGTCGCCGAGTGCGAAACACCTGCGCAGACAGGCACTCTGCCTTTGATCACCTGACAGCTGAATACATTTTTTTAATTTTTCCCTATCAGCGCTGTAAATGATTGGTGACGACAACAACGCCCCCAACAACGCGCTCCAAGTTCGTAATGCTGCTGCTGCTGTTGTTGCTGCTGCTGCGGAACGTATATAAAGGTGGGGCCAAACTTAAGTATTCCTTATGAATTTTGAATTCAATTTCGCCAACAACTACCAGCACGTCACGGCGAAATAACTCAAAATTGATTTATGGCGAATATGTATATATGTGGATACCATATAGTCGATAGACAACAGAAAACACACATCACAATACAACGCATCGATATCAACAGTAGCTGCATGAGTCAACTATCAAATTTTGTTATGAGTGTCAATTACAGGGGAAACAATGGGCCCAACGTTGTACCTGTCCGAACGTGAGGTGACGTGACGGGATGTTGTCGATTGTTTAACCGGCAATTGTGTTTGGAAATTTATGTCACTTTGGTTGTGGTTTTTGTTTTTGGTCTTTGGTCTTTGGTCTGGGTCTTGGTCTTGGGTTTTTGGTATTGGATTTGGAGGTGCGCTTCACTGCAATCGGCGGAAGCAACACGCCGACGTGCAAACGATCAATTACAAGCGAATAAATTGCCGGCAAGCGGGGAAATTCGAAATTCGAATGCCATTGCGCATGCGTGCCAATATGCCAGACTTTTACTATTCGAACGCACTTTTCCGAAACGGCATTTAAATGCACCTGCACGCACCTGCAGCACCTCAATCCCAATCCCAATCCCACTCACGTTCCGATCGACGCCTTTCAACGGACCACCATCGGGGTTTATCGATTGGGAATGAGAATAGGAATTGGACATAGTCCGAGGGGAAGTATCTGTCGTACTCGCACTTTCTGCAAAACTTATGACTAATCCTCACCTGTTGAATGGATAACCAGCGAAGGCCGTATCGTACGGATGATACATCGCTGGATATGGCCAGGGCGATGCTCCGGCCACCAGGTTCTCTTTCAAATCGATGCCAGCCTGAAAAACCAAAAACAAATAGATAAGACACCTCATTAGTTGTTTTGTTATTTTTAATTTTAGACTAATTTCTAGACGAATTTCTGATTTTAGATTGAACTCGGGAGCAGCGGGCCAGACCTTGAACCAAAATTATTAAAAATCATGTTAAACAAATCATTAAGACATCTTCCAGTTTATTTTCGTGGCGATGGATGGCTTGTTATTATGTCTGTGTTATCAAAGAAAACAAGGCACAGTGTGTGTGGGTTTTTTGATGAGAAAAAGTGACTGTTCATCATTATTGAAAGGAATGTTGTATTCTTTAATTAATATATACAATTTCTGTATCGAAGTCTAAGAAATTATCACCAAATATTATCTTTTATCTTCTGTAAGCTAACCTAATTAAATAAAAACCTTTTTATTTCCTAAAGAAAACTACAACCATAGTCCATAAATGAGTTATTTATAATAACACACCTTAGTGACACTGTGCAACAAAATGTAGATGATAAGGCCATAGCAATCTGACCAGCATCAGGCGAGCATGTGGCCATGTCGTGACTCTGGCAGTGACTTTAGGAGCAAGTAGCTCACGTTAGCACTGCGTTTTGGAGTTGTCAGAGATTGGCTCCTTAATCGCAGCACTAGAACATGCACATTTCGCCATTAGACACTCGATAGGGAATCGCAACAGAAAATCACAGAAAACATTTAGGAACACAGACTTTGGCACTGATAGGCGTGGGACAGGCGTGTAATATATAGAGCGCTGATTAAGTTTAACACGACAATTATCTACGCGTCTTGTCTCAACTCGCTGCGACATTTGCCAGCTGTTAAGACGATAATGGAGTCGAGTGACAGAGGCAGCTGCCGAAGCGCACTATAACTATACTATAAACTATATAGTACTTGAAAATCAGACGCATATTCGTCACTGACAAACTGCCGCCGCAGTTATGACAAGCAGTTATGTTGCAAATAGTCGCCAGCCGAACAAAACAGCGGGGGTACGAAAACAAGATGCGAAATCAATGAGAACGAGCCCGATACGGATCTACATGGCACCGCAGGATGAGTACGAGTACAGGATGCACTCGGATGCAGGTCCCAAAATCTATTGTCTCGGTGTCGCGACGAGCGTCTGGCCAGATTGCAGCAAAAGCGGAAATATTTTTATGTCGCCAACACGAAAATGTTGCTGTTGCCGTTGCCATTTGCTGTTGCAACATCGCTATCGCCGACCATCGACTCGGGAGTAGGAGTAGGAGTTATTCCAGGGGCCTGAGTCTGGGATATCTGGCCAAAAAGGTTTCGGGTCTGGTTGCCCAGCATGTGGTAAGTGCGAGTACAGCGGCGATAGACTGATAAACAGCAAAAGCAACAGCCACAGATCTCGAGGGCCAGGTTAACTCCAACTCCAGGGCTCGACACTCGGAAAAAATAATAATTAAATGTATACTTTAGTGCCACTTGCAAGAACAAGTTTAAAAAACTGACCTCTGGTTTATGTGTAGCATATTACCTGTAGTAAACCCATTTTATTAGAAGTTATAACAGTAAAACTTTATTTGTTTGTTTGTAATCTATCAAATAGAGAAATATGGTAACGCCACGCTAATGACAATTTTAGAAGTAATGGTATGTTATTTCTGACTATTTTCAAGCTTAAAAAGCTGTTTTATATTTCGATAATTGCAATTATCGATTCCACTGATCTTTAAGACGATAAAAGCTACGGTAAATATTTAAAGTAAACACATTTTATCAGAAATAAAAAAATTAAATTAAAGTTAAAATTAAAAGTAAGAACAATATTTTTAAAAGCAACAGCTACATTTTCTGAGTGGATGAGAGAGACTTTGACTCCTTTGCCATTGCAGAAGTCAGTTAGCCGAACATGGACAGCGTTTTGGGACAGACTATATTAAATTACACGGGCTGCTCCTATTTCTCAATGGAAGCTCGATGCGAGACCGAGTCCGATAAACCGGTTTACGTTTTACAACCTTTACAATAATCACGCCCGGCTATCACGGGAATTGGCCAAAAGTCAGGGCTAGGGATGGGGATGTGAATGTGAATGTGGATGCGGATCCTCCCGAATTCGAATCCGAATCTGTGTCGTGCGTGTTTGGCAACGAGTGCGTGTAGGCCATGTCGATGCGGGCAAAAGCGCATATAATAAATTGTTGCCGGCTACCAGGAAAGTAGCAAAGTAGTATCTCCATGGAGCAACAGTAGCTGGTAGCTATTGCAGCTCGATTCTCTGGTGAAAAACGCACCCGTGCCGGGATTTTTTGCGCTGGCGGTGGTTAATATTAACAACATTCGACATGTTTGCGTCTGCGTTTATTATTACCAATACAGCAATGTGGCAGCAACAGCAGCAGCACCAGTTGTAGAAGCAACATCTGCAACAGCAGCACCAACATCCACAGCCACCGCACAGATGCAACTCGTTTTCGAGTTAAATATTGCATTACCACTGGCGACGACAACTGCAATTGTAAAGATCGCATATTGCCGATAGCTTGTTCTTCCGCAACAAAGTTTATGCATTTGCAAAATGTTTGTAGTTTTGGCACTCGAGCTTGTTCCTACGGTTTGTAAATTGTGTACTTGGGCATTAAGTGCCCGCAATGTGACCACCGTCAACGAACAGAGAAAGATTTTAACCTTTAACCAACGATTTCTTTAAATAACTGAGTAAAATAGAGTTAAAGTTCAAATTATAGGAAATACTACATTCCATTACAGAACTTCAAGATTTCTTCTCATTGTTACCAAAATAAGAGCCTGCAAATAGAGTTTGCTTATAATAAATCGAAATCTGATATCCCACAAATACTGGTAATCACCTCCCATATTAAGGCCTGTTAACATTTACCATTAATCATTTCTGTGTGAAGGAAAAGCTAATATTTGTGTAAGGAAACTGAGTTATATGAGTTGAACAAGCTCGAGAAACTTTTCCCCGCCCAACGGACGAACATGAATGAGTGACCACCGTTGGCCGCAGAGACCTCAAGTGGTTAGATGTCTGATCTGTTGGATCTTAACAACCGGAGTGCGTCGTTTCACGCATCGGGAAGTGCGGTTTGCCGGCATCCAGATCTCAGAATCCATATCCCCCCCACTCATCTTCTCTCTTTTTACCGAGCAAATTAAATAATTCAAATTAAAATGGGACTTTGTCTTCATTACCAAGGAAATTCTGCGACTGTGTTCCCTTCACGCCAAAACGTCAATGGGCAATGCCTTGGGGATTATACGGTTAGGTTGATGGGGTAGAGGAGATCTTGAGGGGCCTCCGGCTCCTGTGGTCTGTCGCCCTGATGCGCCACGATTTGAGCGATGCGCGTAATGACGGGTCGAGTTAATTAATTGCTGCTTCGATTTAAAAATAAACGCACGTTTGCCCGCCGCATTCCCGCCTCTACAGCGAAGAATGAATGGAATCGGAATTGGAATTGGTATCGGAATCGGATTCGTATTCTGAATTGGAGAGTCCGAATCGAAATTGAAATTGAAATTGACGACAGCGCGGAGTTTGAGTCGCGCCAAAGAATGCGTTTCTGTTCTAGGAGAGCTAATCTACACTGGAAGTAAGTTTTTGGTATTTTAAAGAGATAAATCTATTTCAAATCTTAAACAAAATTATATGAAATGCCTAAGAACAAGGTAATGTTGTCTGAACTTGACTTACTTCACTTGCAAAACTTTTGTTCTTGTTTTTAGTAAAATATTCTGCTTGTTTCTTCCAGTGTACCCTTGTTTTACTCCCCTTTTAAAACCAGAGCTCCCTACTCCCGATGACACTTTTTTTCACAACTCGCTTATAAAGTTGTACCTCTGAGGTTGCTGTTGTTGGTGTTGATGTTGCTGGTCGTGTTGCCTGTTTGTTTGTACGTTGTGCGTTGCCATGACTGCTAATTTGTTTGTTGTAGGCAGGTCGGCCATTCAGTCCACACACACACAGCCCCCCAAACAAATACCAAGGCGCAATACTTCCTTTTTCCTTTTGCTTAACACCCAACCAACCCACATATATAAAAGTGCAAAATTTACTGTTAACGAACATTTTCAACTTTGCCAAAAAGCCAAACAACAACGGCAGCAACACAAAAACTTTCCACAACACTTACGGCAACAACAATGAGATTGGTGCTAGCAGTAAATGTATTTAGTACTTTGGCACACACAACCCCCCAACCTCCGAATATCTCAACCCCCTAGGAAAAGTATACCGACCCCCCTCCCCCCATTTACCACGTCACCTTGCCATTAGAAAAGCAACCCCCAAAACAACACGACAACACTTCGACATTTTCAAAAGTTGACAAATCAGTGCATGTAGCCAAGGTTCCAAGGAGCAGCAGGATGTTCTATAGGATCGGGAGTCGGGAGGCTGGTCGTATCTCGGGGTTGTTTTCTCTATATATAATGCCCAGAGTGCGAAATTTGGAGTGGGACCCCAAACTGAATGGTTCAGAGCGAGAGAAAGAGAGTGGTCCGATTTGTAGTTGCTTTCTGCTACATTTTGTAGAAAACTTGCCAGGGGGCAAAAGTTTTTGTAGCTCCCACAGGATATGAGCGTATACCGCACATTTGAGCCAGGCAGCAGGAGCAACAGCAGCAGCAGCAGCAGCCTTTTGTCGGAGTGAAAACCCATTGCGACTATGTTGTCGAGTGTGAAATTTCATGCTTGCATTGTTGTCGTTGATGATGTTGCGGCACTTAAACTGGGGAAAAGTCAATATACCATTTTGGCTACTTGCCCAGCGTCAAGTGTCTAAAAACACCCATCCCGTCGCCCCGTTTTCAGGATGGCCTGTGTATGTGTTAGCTTTGGGTTGAAGGCTCTAGGAGGTTCGGTTAGAAAGTCCCTTTTATCGCGTAGGGAAAGTTTAAGTGTGACTGGGCGAACCCACTCATTAGACTTTGAAACTAAAGGCACTTAAAATTTTGAAAAAAACTGGTGTTGGGCTTAGTCCTGACTTAATTTGTTCTTTCGTTTTGGAGAAATAATATTGTGATAAAGATTTAAAAACCTTTAGTGTACTGCAGAAAAGTATGCAATGAAATACGTTTTTAGAACTTTCTCATATTAAGTAATTGAGCTGTAAGAACAGCTGAGGCATTTAGTAATCTATTCCATCAGGCAAAACCTCTCTCTCCTTCAATTACTCCTATAAATTCCCAGTTTTCCCTGCCCAAAAAAGACTTTCCCAAAAACCCAAAACATGAGACCCATTTTAAATTAAGGCCGACATTCGGCAATTAACGAAATTAATTTCTTCGAGTGTCAGTGAACAGCGCAGTGCAGGATGCAACATATGCATGCGCCGGGGTCGAAGTCAATTTCGGACTTAAGGATAAACAGATAAACGGATGAATGGATCTAACGGAGCTGGGAATGGGAGGAACGACGGGCAGGACAGGATGACAGGCTGTCACTTGCGTGTTGACAAATTTATTAATAAGGTACGAGGCGGCGTCGGCATCGGTCGTCGACGCCCCCGAAAAACACTAGATGAAAAACAACCAGAGGACAACCGGGAAAACGGAAAAGCGAAGCAGGGCAAAATACCGGGCGCGGCCCTGGGGTTCGGCCTATTTGTTACCGGGGCGGCTCTCTTCAAATGTATCTTGCCATTTGAAATGACAGCGGTGCACCATCTCATCCACCGGAGTGGAAGACGTCGTCATCATCCACCGGAGTCACATTTGGAGACGGGAGTTTTTTGGTTTTTTGGGAGCGGGATATATATTCCCGCGCTGCGGCAAACTGACAGCCGCTTGACAGCTCGTGTCAAAGTAATGAATCCACCGCATTGAGCAGACACTTTTACAACTAGGCTGTATCTACATCTCTATACGGCCGTGCCGTGCCGTGCATGTAGTCGTAGATGCAAAGAGAAATCGCTCCAGTTTAGCGCCGGCGGAGGCGGCTGAAGTGACTAATTACGACCCCGGATGATTTATTTAGCAGATGCCACGACCCGACCTGTTTTGTCTTCTAAACGCTGCCATCAATACGGCCCCAGTGTAAATCCTCGGTGATCTCAAGTGCCCCGGCCACATGACACTTCAATCACATCAAATACTAAATTGCTGTGTCAGCGGGTGGATGGGATATATATACATATATCTATAGCCACGATTGAGATTACTGATCGATGCTTTTCTCGTTGTGACTTTCATAATTTGTGTTTGGGGACAATGGCTAAATTTATACAAAGTGCCAGCTACTGGCCGGCAGACCGGTTCTCTAATTTTATCACATTATTCCCTCGAAGTAAACCAGTTCAGATGCAAATTAACGTTTTGAATATATTACAACGAGCATGTGTTTGATTAGGCCAAACACCAATGGTGGACAGCGATTGCACTTAAATCACTTAACTTTGATAATATTTAATCACACATTAGCAGAGAGGGCACACATAGAGATATAGCAAATAATTATTTCCACCCACTTAGTCACAGTCACTAATGCAGACTCTGGCATTTTCCCTAATTCTTTATGCCATCTTCATCTTAAACAGCGGCATTCTAAATACTCAACGGGCCATTCATTAAACTCTCAGTTTCAATTTCACAGTCGTCAGCTCGTTTCGAGTTCTGCTTCTGTTTTTCATTTTGGCCCGAGTGCCGTCAGCTTTTAAGACCTTTTTTTCATTTTGGCTTGTAAGCAAATAAATTTATGTGTTCACTTTTGAATGCGACATTTTATCGGATCATATTTAATGGGCGCTGTTAGGGAGCCGAGTATCCAAAGAAGGAGGCCCAACGACTTTGGTGACAAATTTGTACATTTTATTTGAAGTAAATATCGGTGTTTAGTTTGAATGACATTTCTAGAGTTTTTGGGAAATGTATTTAAGGGGAAGTTGAAGGCTAAACAAGGAAAAATGGTTCTAAAAACAAACGTTTAATATCCCTCATTAGTGCTGAATATAAATAACAAAGGTTTAAGTTACAAATCCCCAAAAGAACTTCAACTAGTTAGAAATTGAATTTTTACCTATTAATCAATGCCTTTTCCCCACCATTCAGTTACTTTCCCCTTAACAGTTTCCCAGACAATTAAAAATAAGAAACAACTTTCTCATTCTCAACTAAAATTCCCTCAAAAGATTTTATGAGACAACCCAAACCAGGAACCAGGTCAATACATTGTATGTTTTCAGTTCAATTGACTGGTAAATGCAGTTTTCCTCCAATTTCCATCTAAATTTTCGCCAGAATCGAACACATGCTGGAGACCCAAAACCAAAAAAACCGAAAACCAAACCAAACCACTGGGTGTCCAGGTCCTTGGACTCGGCATGTGGTCCCCGAGAACATTGTGTCCAAATAGAATTGTTGGCAAACAAAGGCAAATTACATGATGCTATTAGAAGCGAGTCGAACAAAGGGCCGACGGCGAAGCGCCGGACATGTGGTGACCAAGACGTGCCACAGCACCATTGTCCATAAATTCGGACAGTGCAGCATAATATCGGGATGCCCGATGCCGGCATCAGTTCAGTGCAGATCGAGTTAAGCCAGCCATATTTCGCAACTTGGCCAGACCAACACATTGGCAACAATTGGCTTGAAATATCACTGAAGGCGAACCCAAAAGGTCAGGCATAGGCTTAGGAGCCCTAAGTACCGGGGACCCTGTGGCCCCGCAACGGCCTGACAAATCGCTTCAAGCGAGGCTCTGCTGTAGGCCCAGCGCACAAGTTCGGAAGCATAGACGACCGGGGGCATGGTACAGGGAACACGATCAAATGACGACGCGACTTCAACTTCAACTCCGACTTCGATGGTGGTCTCCCGCTCCTCGAGTCGACAAATTCACAAATTTATTGCGCCATTGTTCGGGGAATATGACTTATGAACAGGCTTTATTATGCACAGGAAAAAAAATAGTTGAGAAACCGAAAATACTTTCAAAAAATATCTTTTACTTAACTTTCATAACTTAACTTCCTGCATTTAGGAATCACAAATTTTAACCACAAAAGCAAATATTTTCTTCTAAAATCTGACAAGTTTTAAAATATTTTCCCATTTTGTTTCAGTGTACGACCTATGTCTCCCCAATTCTTGAGATTCTTTAATGACTGAGTTCACTTACCGGATTGGCGTAGAACGGCGGCTGATCCGCTGCAATCCCCGAGAGGTAGGCGGACATGCCCTCCGGATAGACACCGAGTGGCACTCCACCGGCGGCGGCTAAACGCTGGTAGTTGAGCATATCGTACTGGCAGGAGCAGATCGTCTGGCCGCTAACCGGATCCGTGTAGATGGTGCGACCCGTATCACAGCAGCGATTGGGTGGATTGCCAGCTCCAGGCGCCGGTGCGCCTCCAGGTCCAGATGAGTGAGGTCCTGGTGGCGGTGCACCGACCAGGGAGAGGGCAGGCAAACCGGTGGATGGACCGCACGGTGAGGTGGAGCGGGCGCCCGGCGGCACCGTTGAGGTCACCATGCCACTATGACCTGGCCCGGAAATACCGGGTGCACTCAGCGGCTGGGCGGCGGGACAGGCGAGCGTGGGCAGCGTCGAGGGCGGACTCTGTGGAGCGTTGGTTGGAGGCGTGTTGGGCGACGAGGTGGCAAGGTGAGTTGAAACGGCATTCTGAAAGTTCAATTTAATGGGGGAAATATTTAATAAGTTTGTGGTTATAAGGTTAGCATTAGAAATTCGGAAAAGTGCTTGGCTATGTGAAGGTGTTCTATCTGAAGACTTTATCCTACAAAAACTACCTAAAATTTGATAACAATTCTTATTGACTAGATATTGAAAGACTTTCTAACACTTTTATTGTTAAAATCAAATAAAAACTTTAAAACTAAAGCATAGGCATTTCCAAAAACGAAACAAACTTAAAACGTTCTCCCACAAAGAGTTTCTTCTACTCAGATAATTATTAAATAAATTTGATTATCCGACTTTGGTCTTTTCCAATCCATTTCTCAAGTTTATGGCGGGCCATTAAAGCGCTGCTTCTTGCGATGGATAAAAAGCCCCATAGACGGTCTACTGTACTGTGCTACCAGCTGGCACTAAAACTTAATTAAAAACGTTCCCCCTTATCAGCGCGATAAGCGCGACTCTTCAGTGGGCTGTGGCCTGTCCACGGGCCCTTCAGAACCCCAGAGCTCAGAACATCAGAATCAGGGATCCCGGACCGCTGTCTCCAGTCAATAAAACGTAACTCTTTCCCCCGCGCCCATCTCCACGATCCGCGGACCCCAAACCGAACAAACCCAAAGCCAAAACCCCTTTCCTCTTAGGCGGATCTTCAAAGTGGGGCCGCCATTACCAACAAATCATGTTTTCGATTGACAACATTGATTTAAATTACACAGCCGATTGCTGCCAACGACGACAGCGGCAACAGCAACAGAAACAACAACAACAACTGCATCGACAACTAGCAACATCGACAACCAGCAACGGCAACGGCAACGGCAACGGCAACGTCCTAAGAGCAATTTGATTGTAAGTTGTCCAATGACTGCCTGGATCGGGCCACTATATAGTATAGTATGTGTATGTGTGCACATAAGCCTATCGCGCACTTTTGTCAACACTTTTAGTCAACTGCAACAGCAACAACTACAACAACAGCAACAGTGGACAAGACCAACGTACACATTCGCACATTCGACATGGGGGTACAAACAAGTTTCCAGTTTGTTTATCGCTGCCTCTTTGGTTAACTTCTCCACTTCTTGGGGCCGCTCTTCCCGTTTAACATTTTACAAATGATCCGAGGCGTAAGATACGATTTTTATCGCAGGCCGGCGGTCACAGTGCTGCACTGTATGTTGTTGTTGTTGTTGTTGTATCGTTGTCGTGATTGATACCGCCGCACTATTGGGATACCAAATGTTGCTGTTCCGTCTCGTGCTTTCATCAAGTGACAACTCAAGTGGCCCTATGCGATTAAAAATTAATTCCCGGTGTTTGCCGGATGGATGGATCCACAATACGCTGCCTTATCAACTAACTCTTTGAATCAGCCGCTGATGATTATCGACTATCTAGCTAAAGGCAGTATATATATATATATAATGAGGAAAGTTATTTTTTGGGTAGCCAATATATAGATAGATATAGGTTTAGAATGACAACCACTGGTCATGTTTGTTTAAAGAGCATTTCATATTATTTTTTTTGATATTCTGTTTCAGCTTTCGTGTTGCGCCACAAGTTGCCTCTTGCACTCAACGATCGAGTGTCTATATAAAAATATATATAAACTCAAGTGTCGAATGATTTAGGGTATCGGATTACCAATGGCCAGAGATTATTATAAACAGGAAAGAAATATATGGCTAATAGGATCTCTGTTGGGACTAAAGGAAAACGCGATGCTGTGACCTTGCCAGTTTGGTTAACAACCAAAAGAGATTTTCCGAATTGGCAGACAGTTTTTCGTGTGTTGTACGGCTAATGTAGCACACACTTGTGGTCCTGACATTTTCAACGGCAACTTGGCAGACATCGATTCGAACATTTTGATCCGTTTTATTTTTAAATCCATGTCTTCCGTTTGCCAAATCAAAATGTTAAGGCATTCGAACCCAGAGTAATCCCACTGTTTGTCCACTTGTACATATGTTGCACTTAAATCGCTGATCTTAAACGGGTTTGTTTTTGCTTTGACTACAATCTAATTGCCACTAACCAAAGCTAAGTTGCAGTGATTAAGTGGCCCATCTTACAAGTAATAAAATTGACTAGAAAATTGATATACGCACCATTACTAAACAGATACCGGTTTCATTACTGTGCACTGTCATTTAATATTAATTTTTGCTTTTAACTAAAACTATATAAAGCAAATCTTAAAGTTACGATGCACCGATCTACTCGCGCACTGAACTAAATGGAATTATAATCCGTGAGTGATTAAATCCGAACTAGTTTTAGTTTTTTTTATGTAGATTATCAATCCGTTTTGGTAGTTAATGTGTGTTTTTCTTTTTCGTTTTTCGATTTCACTTTTTTGCACTTTGCCGACGGCTAAATAAGGAGCTGGCCAAGAACACGGAGTCACCTGGCCAAGCAAACAAACAGTCTACTACCGCTGGTCACCGAGAAATCCGTTAAATCCGTCGGTTGGCAGTTACGAGAATCAATCAGCAGCTGTAGCCGCCAGCTATCCGGAGGATGCGATGCGAGGCCGAAAACGAAGCACGAATGGCAGAGCCAGGGAGCAGTAGTAGTAGTAAAGTAGTAGTATCTGAATCTGATTCTGAATCCGAATCAAAATTCTGAATCCAGCTCGCAGAACGAAGGCGAGCGGCGGGCAGAGAGCACTATTTTCACACTGGCACTGCGGACACGAACGATACGAACAATCTGCGTAACAGTCAAAAGTAGACTAACATGAGTTTCTTGAGCAACTACAAAGTGTACGACAAATGGGAATTACACGACAACCGACAATCGAAAAACAGCGCAGCGGCAACAACAGCAACATCGGCAACAACAACAGGGCCCACGCACCACCACCAACGTACAGCGTTCGTCCTGCATTTGTATGTGTGAGCAGGAGAGAGCCACAAACGGGTTTCTCCCCTTATTTTTACTTCATACGCTCAAGTATTAGTGCGTTCTCTTTGCTCTTTTTGAGAGTAGCAAAGTATCTGTGTATATCGTTGGTTGGCAGTAGTGTGCGTGCAAAAAGTATCTGTGAGTGAGGAAAAGCAAACGAAACGAAAAAAAAGTAACAAACGAGGCGGCACGACGACAACACGAACGGCAACAACGGCAATAATGATTATCATTATAAGTGGGCTGGCGCTCTGGCTGTGTGTGGCAACTGGGGATTGGAATCGGAGTCGGTATCGGTGGGTATAACCTCTACCCCCCCTCTCTCTCTCACTCTTTCCTCTCGTTCCCGGCAACCCCGCCTCTGTTTAAGTGCAAGTGAGACAGCGAGAACCGGTTGGTTAGTATGGAGGGGGGGCAAAAAAGTATCTACCGCCTTGTGTGTGACCATAAATAAAGTATCTGCCAGCTGCTAACGGCTAGAAAGGGATGGCTATAGCCGCTGCTACGACGGCCACGAATCGCATCCAAGCGGCAGCGACGGCAGCAATATCGCAAGTTGCTCGCGTTGGCTGTCGTGTTGCTGGTGTGCAAGCGAGATGGCGAGGAAGCAGGCAGCAATAGCAGCAACAGCAGAAGCAGCAGCAGCAACACCGAGCGGCAGAACATGAAAAAATTAACTTAACAACTAGAAAAATGGCTGTTATTGCGTGTTGTTGTAAATGCCGATGTATGTATTTGTAGGCGATGTTGTTGTAGTTGTTGCTGCTGCTGTTGCAACGCTGCTACTTGCTGTTGTTGCTGCTGCTGCTGCTGTTGCCGCTTCTGCTGTGCTGTGCTGCTGCTGCTGCTGCTTCTGCTGTGCTGTGCTGCTGCCGTGGGTGTTGCTACGTGTAGTTGTTGCCATAAACAACACAACAACACGAACGTCGCGACGTATGAAAGCAAAGTGTTTACGCTCGCTTCTCGCTTTTCGCCGCCGCGCTGATGAAAAAAGAAAAGCCTGATGAACATGAACGAGAGACTCGTGAAGAGGTTGGGCCAACGCGATGGGTAATGTTTTATCATCCGCCTCTGCCGCAGTCGCAGTTGGCGTCCGACCCCCTTTCCACCCCCCCTCTTGACCGCTTTGGCTCTTTGGCTGGATTGGTGGCATCTTTCGCGCTGCTCCAACAGAAAAAAAAAGAAGAAAAACGCCACCGCAGTTGCCGTCGCTGCTTTTACTGCTACAACATACGCTCTTACATTTTATTATGTAGGTATTTGTTTTTGTTTTTGTTGTTGTTTTTTTTTTGTTTTTGCCTCCTGGCGTGGCGTTTCTTTAACTTTTTCTAATTAATTGAAACGCCACTCGAGAGGAGTGACGGCAGCTGTTAGAGCGGGATGGCGTTTATGTGCTACATATGTATCTACGTACTGAGTACATTCGAAAGCTACTTTGTCGTTCCTGGCAATCGGTGGTTATCCACCACCACACCCCCTTTTTACACTCTCCAAGAGCCACCACCACCATCATCCGCCCACCTGAGCTCGGTGTCGCACACGCAGTAAACAAATTCTTACAACATTTAAATGAAGTCACCAGCAGCTTTATCCTTTTCCATTGCCCCCGACATTAACGATTAGTTTTTCGATAGTCATTTATTAGGGGTTTTCCTTCTGGTCCGCGGGGACGATGGCCCGTAAGTTTTCATGAAAATTAATGGATTGACAGTGCCAAAATAAAAGTTTAACCAACCACCGTATTAAGGTCACTAACATGAGGTTAAGTTTATTTTCTTTTTGGCAGCTGAAGAAGGGAATTTCATCTTGAAAAAGGCTTTAATATTTTTTAGGGGGAAAAAATGTTTTTTTTTTTTTTAATCAGAAATAAAAATAGTTTTTTTTTTATACTTTATTCAATATAAATTATTTTTTAATAAAGAAAATATATTTTGTGGTGCCTTTTATTAAATTTTTAAGCTTTAATTCTTTTATTAAAAAAAGATTATTTTCCGTAATTTTTAAGTTGGAAATAAACTATTTCAAAATTAAAGTTTAGAAAGATTAAATTTTGAATTTTCTTATATATTTTTATATATGAAAGATTTTAATATTAAAACAGTTTAAAATACAAACAAAAGACTACAAATTTTGGAAAGAAAAAGTTTCAAAATTTTTACATTTCAAGTCAAAACCTCTCCCACTTTTGATCACTTTTAAATCAATCTTATTAAGTAAAAGAAAATGGTGTTTCCTGGTTAACCCACTTTAAGTGACTTTTACGATCCGTATCTGTATCTGGCATCAGTATCTTCTTTTTAATTCGGAGCGACATTAATTGGCTTGCGAGCAACAAATTCAGATCACGTTAACCCATTGGCGCGCCTACAAAATTGCCGTCGCCTTCTGTGCAGAAATACAGCAGCACCAACAAGAACAACAACAACAACTGCAACGAGAGAAAGAACAACAACAACAACAACAATAAAAAGAAGAACTGGCAACCGCAGGAGCAACTTCTGCCATGGACGGGGAAAATGGTGGAAAAAAGGGGGTCTCAGATAGCGGTGAGAGGGGTAGGGATTGGCCAGCAAGTAGCAACCTTTTTCGAGGCGGGCTCACTGGCGCTAAGAGAGTGAGAGAGCTAAGTAAGAGTGAGACACAGTGAGTGCACGGAAAAGTTGCCCCAAATGGCCGCAAGCGCAAAAGCAGGAGGGCAAGATGATGCCAAAGCCAACTCCCCCGAAAACGAATACCCCCCCGCCGCCCCGTCAATCCACATGCCCCCAACCATAGTCGTTAGTCGCAGTCGATCCAAATCCAGAAACAACGCCAGTCTTTGTTTAACGATTTTTATATTTCGAACACGAGATATATTTGTATCCTTTGTACTACGCTTGTTGCCACAGAGTACGAGTATCTGTGTGTGTGTGTGTGTGTCTTTCATGTAGTTGTATCTCTGCAGTCGTCGTACATACGTACGGCTTGTATTGATGGCTTCGCCTCGCTTCGTTGAGCTTCGTATCTTGGGGATAGGTGGGTTATCCTCAGCTCCCCTACCATGCCATCCCATGCCATGCCATGCCATGCCTTCAATGTATCTCTACTTGTTTGCAGATAGCTCGTCGTTGCCGTTGAGTAAAAGACCATACCAGACCAGACCAGACCCGACCAGGCCAATGATGATGATTGTCGAGTTGAGAGCGCCAAGGCAAGCTAAGCTTGGCCAGGCAAAAACCATTTTCCGTATCTATGTATCTTTGTATCTGGAAGCGCGTGTTGCGGTGCGGAGTGCGTACGCGAGTACGCGTCTACAAACGTCGACATGAATTTTAATCTAATAGATACAAATGAAAAGGTGTTTGTGTGCTCCGCTCCGGTGTAATCGCTTTGACTCGCCGGGCTTTTTGGGGCGTATAGTTGCGGTCGGGGCCTGGCTCTGGGGTCTGGGCCTTGGGTCTTCTCAAAGGAGTTTAGTTTGTGTATTGATTCGTTTTTTGTTGTTGCTGTTGTTGTTTGGGGATTTTATTGCCTTCCCATTTCTTGGCCCCAAGCGTTAGCGCTTTCCCGGAGGACTTATCTGGGGAGTTCCCTTGAGCCTGCGGTTATGCCTGTGCGTCTGCTGCTGGATTTTGCCTCTTTATACAATGTTTTTGATTGATTTTCCATGAGGAGGCTTATTGAAGAGCAGTGAAAACTTGTAATAAGTACCGAAATCGAGGATTCTTATTGAAAGAAAGTAGTGAGTGTGTGGGTTGGAGATCCTTGTTGTGGAATTTAATGGGAGATGAAGGTTACTTTGATTGCTTTTAATGTGGGGAATATTTAGTTTTTGGGTGTTTGGTATTAGTTTGAGTTGAAAATGTTATAGTTGACATATGTTACCTTTAAGTACTGATGGATAGATGTTAGAATTATAGTTTTCTTAAAATAAAAATATGATTAAAAGACAAGAAAAATGCCTAAGATATTGATTAAGTTGGTTTTGATATAAGAAAACATATTCGGATGAGAAAAAGACTTGAAATTTCATTTATTTTTAAGGGTACATAAAAAGAATAGAATTTTTAAGATAGCATCAATGACATCTAGCAAAAAATAATCCCAATGATCATAAATCCGATCAATTTCCAAGGAATAGGAAGGAAAATACCAACCATTCTAGGGGAGGAGCAATGGTAAAGCGCCTGTCGTCTTTGCGATTACACGGCTGCAATCCGCGATGTTGCAAGAGGCAAGTGGTAAGCGGCAAGTGGCAAGTGGGCCATGATGCAGCCAACCAGCTAACCGACCAACCAGCCATTAATGAACGACCAGCCCGAGTGGAAGACAAAAAGCGCTACAAAGGAGTGCTCTTCTCTATCTGGGCAAACGAATCGTTGCAACTTGGAGTCTGAAGATAAAGGGGGGCTACACTCCATCTGTGTATATCTGTGGCATATACACACATACATATATATATATATATAACTGCAGTGGTACCTGTATGCAATCCGGGGGCATGGGTTTAATGCTCGGAGTGGTGCAAACAAACCAGATAGATACTGATGCTCTCTATACAGAATACAGCTGAATGCGGCATCGGCATACAGCCATCATCGACATGCGATGAACATGGAACAAG